TGGTTTAGCTCAGTGAATAGAGCATCGGCCTATGGATTGAAGGGTCCCAGGTTCGATTCTGGTAAAGGTCACATGCCTGGGTTGCAGGCTCAATCCCCAATAGGGGGCGTGCAGGAGGCAGCTGGTCAACGATTCTCTCTCATCATTGATGTTTCTCTCTCTTTCTTCCTCTCCATTCCTCTTAAATCAATAAAAATATATTTAAAAAAATAACCACATGTAGTTAGTGGCTAGCATGTTGGACCATCCAGCTCTAGGTGTCAGTAAAGGCTGAAAACTACATTACCTCATAAATCCCTGGTATAAATTCAAAGAATCTGTACTTCAAGAAGTCTGCATAAATGTAACATTTTCCTATTCCTTTACACATTCCAAATCATAGCAAAGGGGGAGCTTATGAACAGTCTTCCATGGGATTGAATAAGGACCTCATCCCAATGGAACTGCTACATCTGTATGTCCTTAGGATTCATTCTGCCAGCTCCATTCTAGCAGAAATAACACTGCATAATAATACTGAAGCAGGCACAACATAACTTGGACATTATATGCTGACAACCTTACATCCAGCTTTAACCTTTACACTTACTGGAAAAGAAAACACAAACTCTACTTACCCTTTTCCTGCTGAGGGTCCAATTCAGGTCTTAAATTCCATTACACAATACTAAGGCACCTAGTACCGAGATGGGTATCTAGTAGGAAAGATCGTTATGTAAAAAATATATCCATCCATCCAACCATTCACCTATCTATCCAACCATCTGTCCACCACCTGCCCATCCACTTATCCACTCATCCACTCATCCATCCATCCATCTTCTCACCCTTCTACTTATCATTCCATCTATCCAATTATCTATTTATCCCCAGAATCTATTCACTGACCCGCAAAGAATAGCTTTTCTCTCATTTACCCAAATAATGAGAGCTTAATAGAGAGGAACAAATAAGAAGCAGGTGACTTCATGATGCATATTTAAGAGTATGCTTTCAGATAAATTCCTAAAAATGGAGAAGAATAATAAGAATGAGAAGAAAGAGTATGCACTAATGAACCATAATTTTAATTGATAAATATTTATTGACCATCCATTTAGTACAAGGAACTGCACAAGATATATAAGATATATACAAGATATATAAGAAATCCCTGTCCTCAACATTCTTAATCTACTTGAAAAATTAAAGCAATGAATATATAAGAGGCTAAAAAAAAGACAAATTAGTGAAATATTTCAAAACAGCAAGGTGAAAGATGTCACAAGATAATTTATGTCTCCGATAATAAGTCTCACATTTAGAAGAGGGTTAGGAAATCTGGGCTAGAATTGTCCAACTTAGGGCTTTAAGGAGGAGGCTTGAGCCATATTCCAAATGATAGGCAAAATGAAAGATTATAAAACCTCATAAGATTTTAAAACTTGGAGGAATCTTTGAAGTAATCTAGCTCAACTCTACTATTTTATGGCTAATTCAACTAAGGTCAGAGAGTTAAATGACTTGGTCTGACTCCCTCTTACAGGAAATAGTGGCAGAAAAAGGCCTAAAGTGCAGGGCTATCAATGCCCATTCCAAGCCATAATTTACATGGGATGGGGAGTGGAGTCTTCTATTTAGGAAAGGAGAACACATTCTGGAGAGTGGGTGAGACACAGCATAAGCAAGGAAGCAGAGCCAAGAATTCAGTATAACCACCGTGTATGAGGACATCAGTGTGTATGTAAAGGAAGGAAAGCATGGAAGGCGAGAGAAGGCAGGAACTAATATGAAGGAGTTTGAGTGCAAATCTGCAATTGGTTGGCCATACAAAAGCCAGAATTCTGGTTTCTGGGACTGCTTTGAAGTCTCTCTTTGACACAGTGGCAGCAGTATAAACTTTTCTAGAAAAATGTTACTCTTTTCATATTAACAAAGACTCAAGTTCATCTGGAGGACTGCAGAAGGGAGGTTGGGATAAAATTAATGACATTGCTGGTCAACCTACAGGGAGCAGGGATGGATGATTATTGCTGTGTCTGTTCACAACTCAGAAGGTCTGATTCAGTAGATTTAGGATGGGGGATAAGAACCTGTACATTTTTAAGCTCCCCAATGACTGTGATGATCATAAGGTTTGGAGGGTCTTCTGGTTCACCCATTTTACCAATCTATCCACTACAGACTACCACTTTAGAAAACTCTTTGACAATATTTACTAAGTATATGACTCTTATGATCTAGCTATTCCACTCTCAGGCATATACTCAAGAGAAATAAACACTGATGTACCTCAAAAGGCATGAATAAGAATATCCAGAGCAGGTTATTATCAACCCCAAACTGGAAACAGCCCAATGTCCATCAACATTAGAACGGATACATAGATTGGAATACTACATGATGATTAAAAAGAATAAACCACTGCTATGTGCACCAAGATTGATGACTATCACAAACATAATGATAAACATAAGAAGTATGATTCCATTTACATCAGATTGGAACTGGCAAAAATAATCTATGATAATTACACTCAGAATAGTGATTGTCTCTTTATAGGGATGGGTATTACCTGGAAAGGAGCATAAAAGAAACTCCTAGGGTGCTGGGACTGTTCCATATCTTCATCTGGGTGGTGGTTATGTTGTTATATATTACTAGACATGTGTAAAAATATATCGAACTGTACACTTGTTCAGTTTACTGTATGTTAATTATACCTTATTGAGAAAAAATAGATATTGTGTATGTGTGGATATATATATTTACCCTGCTAACCTCATGAGGTTGTTATAAAGCTCCAACATCTTTTAAAAATGAAATCAATTGCCCTAGCGGGTTTGGCTCAATGGATAGAACATTGGCCCTCAGACCAAAGGGTCCCGGGTTTGATTTAGGTCAAGGGCACATACCTCACCTCAGTTGCAAGCTCAATTCCAGCCCTGGTCAGGTTGTGTTCAGGAGGCAACCAGTCGATGTGTGTCTCTTACATCGATGTTTCTTTCTCTGTCTCTCTCCCTCCCTTTCACTCTCTCTAAAAATCAATGGAAAAATATCCTTGGTGAGCATTAACAACAACAACAACAAAAATGAAATCAATAGATAAGTACTCTCTTATATTATTTAAGTAGCTCAATCCCTATTCTTGTTGAATTAGGTTAGATGCACTACCTGTGATTCAGATGATCCATCAGCCTTTTTAAGCCTTAGAAAAACACAAAAAGTTAGTTATAGGAATGCTCATAGTAATTTCTGGATTTGGGAAGGACGCACAGTAACTAACTATAGACTCACTGAAAACACAATAGAGCTGACAAAGTGTGCAACCCAGCTTTGAAAGCGCTCTTTGCTGATGGTGAATTTGGTCTGCTTTGAAACTCTGGGGAGGGATTCTGTGCAGCTACATCTTTACATCCCATGCCCTCACTTTCCTCCCTACCCCCCTCCACCCCCACCTCAAGAAGACACTAAACATCATCTGTACCACTGCACTCACAACTCGGAAACAAAAATCTCATCTTCCCATCAAGAAAATTCCCCTCATCTTGAGGTGTCCTCGGCCATTGGTAACGAGCCCCAGACCTTCTGCCTGCTCCAAAGTTTGCCTGCCCTGAATCAACACTTGAAACTACCTGTGGTCATTAGCACCTTGTGGCAAATGTTCAGGGTCACAGAAGGCTGGAGGTGAGGAGCGGGAACGGAGAGACCCTGTCCAGCCGGTGCGATGTGCAAACCTCATTTCTGGGCTGTTAGTTTTCAATCTTTGAAAATGCCGTGTGTGCTGAGCAGTGTACTTCAGGCAGCTAAGTATAAACACATGTCTACAAATACTGATAACATTATCTTATTTGTCCATTACTCAAAGCCAGATCACCTGAGGACTATTTGTTCCTCTGCAAAATGAGAATCCAGCACCACATGTATTAAAATGTGAGACATTTTCTTAAGAGCATAAATTTTCAAGAGCTGTTTCTATGCCTTTCCTGGTACACTTTCAAATCCTTAGGTATCTTTAACACTATAACATACAGTTGATTTTTAAAATAGAAAGTTCTAGTCTTTGGTTCACTCTACCAATTTTTCTTCATTTGACCATCTGGTCTACGATGTGTCTGGAGTCTATTCATTAGTGTGTCCAGTTTCTAGAGCTCAGAAATACGTAAGATACATTCAGCAATTTATGTGAGCATCCTGCAGGTATTTCCTGACTGCTTAATTCAAGCAGGTATTCAAAGAGTGAGTATGAACTTTTAAGAATGAATAAATAGAAATTGTTAAGCAGTAGGTTCACACAAGCAATGCAGTTCACAAATATGTATATTTCCCAGAATAAAACATTGTACTGACTCCCCGCCCCAAACACTATAAAGATATTAAAATTCCCCCAAATCTGACTTGAATGGAGCTTTCTCAAGAAAAAAAATCCAATAATGCTTCATTTCACTTAAGAGATTGTTAGAAAAAACAGCACACAAGCTGTTCATTTACAGAGAGCCAAATACAAAATCAGCTGTGAGAAAAGTTCAACTGAGGAAAATGAATTTCAAGGAAATGCCACTTATTTTCTCCTGTTGGTCATTTCTGAAAGAATATTTTGCACTAGAAATGCAGTGGGGCTTTTCTAAAGATTTTAAATTGCTTCTAAGAAACATTTGCCTGGGGTTTAAACCCTATTAGTTGTGATCTTTTTTCTTAGTAGTCAATTAATTTTGCAGGGGGGAGAAGTTAGGGAAAAGCCATGCTAAATTGATTTGTGTCCAGAAAATGCCCCTCCATCTTATGCTAATTATTTTTCTTTCTTGCCCCCCCTTTTTTTGCCATCCATTCCCTTTTCTTTCTTAAACCAACAGGTAAAACTCCAGAAGTAATCCCCAGAACAAAATAACATGCCCGGAAGGGAATCTGAGTTTGAGTAAAACTTCCTTTTCTGCAAACAGCTCTGTCTGTCCCAATGTGGTAGCTCGTTTACTGAGGTATCCACCACCCTCAGAGAGAAGTAACTGTCCTCCTGTACTTACCTGTCTGCGGAGAGAGCCGTGAGTGTGAAGACGGACACCCCCACCGAGGTGAGCTGTATAAAGGGGATCAGTTTGCAGCCAATCCTGCCAAACAGCCATCTGTCAGCCAGGTACCGGCTGGCATCCACGGGAGCACAGGTTACCAGGAGGAGCAGATCTCCCAAAGCCAGACTGGAGATGAAGAGGTTTGGCACATTTCGCATGGACTTCACGGTACAAAAGATCTTGATCAGGGTGATGTTGCCAATGAGGCCTATCAGAATGATGACCCCATAAATTGCAGGGATGACATAGAGGATCCCTGGGTGGAACCAGTCCTCATTCATGGGGAGATCCATACTGTGATTAGAGATGTTGCAGGACACGCTCTGAAGCCAGCAATCATTGAGAGCCATCCTCTAGATTCTCTCCCACCTACAAAGTGTCCTCAGATGCTGTTCCTTAACTTTTGATTTTGCAGTTGGGTGCAGATGAGGACAAAAATCTCTGCTAGGCTCTTTATTTTCTTTAATAAAAATACTCTGAGTACATATAGACTATGGCATCAAAACTCTGTCACTATTTTGATGCTGGTACTGCTCTCATCTTCACATGAACAATGCAATGCAGTTCAAAATTCAGTCCAAAAAGGGCTCAGAATTAAACCCAGTCTGTATCAACTCTTTCTACCTCCATTCCAATCTGAGTCTCCCTCGCTGCAGTTAACTAAGAACTTTTGGTCTGCTATTTTCACACGGCATTTCCTGTCTTTCCTGATACTTAGACCCTGAAGGTTTAAAGTGGGTAGAAAAAAACGGCACTGAGAAAGCCTCACATCCTATAGGCAGGATGCCTTGCACGTCACTGGCTTCACTAGCAAACGGCAGCTCTGCTGAGCTGAGGCTCTGAAGAGGAACCGGGGCTACTTATAGACAGAGAATGCCAGCCCCCTGCTGGACACTTCAATCACTGCCCAGTCGCCTACTCTCCACCAGCAGACTGCGGGTCCAAGGCCCACGGGGCTTTAACAGATACCTTTGGCTTCTCACTTAAAATGCAGCACCTTCGGTAGGTATTTAATGTGTTGCTAGCAGTTTGCAACGGCATTACGAATCTTTCTGATGCTATGCTCACGAATCCAGATGGAACTCACATCTATTTTCTCATCTTTTCCAATACATTAGAATGACATGTTAAATAAGGTTGCTCTAAAATGAGGTCTGTCTCTAAATGAAATGCACACAGATGCACAGGGTGTCTATGTGTGAGCTGTCCCACTCAGCCTTCCCACTGCCTTTTTGAACGGGGATACCAGTGAGGAAAAATAGGCACGGGACTCATGCCTTAAACCTTCAGTAACTGCCTCTGGGAAAAACCAGAAGCAGAACACACACACATGTTCTTTCCTGTGGCTTTGCCAGGCCATCCTCGTTCCCTCTACCAGGAGAAATTAAATCAGGAGCCAGATGTATTCTTAACTCTGAGACCTTTTCCAGAAAAATGGATCTTTTCTCCTTGGACCTAAAAATGACATGAATTGCCATTTTGATGCAATTATTTACTGAATGCTTGCCACGTTTTATAGCAAATTTCCTCTGAAGTCCTGAGTGAGAAATGTACTGTCAGAATACTGAGGAATTAAGGTGTGGAAAAAATAACAGAGTGGACAGGGTGCCAGGAAAGGCTTTATTGAGGAGGTACTATTAGATTGGAGCTTAGACCTTTAGCCAACAATTTATAAATACATTACAAGGGTGTATCTTCAAGACTTATGTGGAACCAGCTCCATCGCAGGAACATCACAGGAAGCAGTTACTAGCAGATGTTGCCGTTGAAGGTTTGTTTGTTTTTTTCAGGTTCCATAGGAATAAAAGAACTTGCACTTATCACCATGCCAGGGCTCAGCAAGAAAGCCTCCAACTGCGTTGTCATGGAAATTTCCAGTGGGAGGTTACAATACTGAAATGGTCGATATGCTCCTTCCATAAGTCCAAAGGACCTGTGCTCCTCTCAGTCAGCAGTAGAGAGTTTGATGTTGCACTCCTGGAGGGGAAGAGCTTCTCAGGGGAGATCAGCATCACCAGTAATGAGTCAATAACCATGAGCCTAGTGGTGTTGATTAGTTGATAACAGTATATATTAATGCAGTATATGGACTCTGATTAAATCCTGGCTTCCTCATTTATTATCTTGGCAAGTTATTTGGCGTCTTAAGCTTCAAGCTCTTTATCTGTAAAGTGGGAATAATTTGTGAAGTTAAAATTATTCATGTTAAGACTTCATAATATTTGGCACATAGTAAGTGCTCAATTAGTATTAGCTGGTATTGCTATAACTATTATTGTTGCGACTGAGAGAAATTTTAATTTTATTGTGATTTTACTTTAGGAAAGCCCAATAAAGTCAGAAGAGCAATTGACCTTGGATCAATAGGCAAAAGGGCCTACTCACACAGGTGAATCAGCAACTCCCACATTTACTGGAAACACATTTATCAAACATTTGCCAGTTTTCAGGTACTGCAAAAGCTTGAGAAAAATAACCCGAAGATACATTTTATTATAAGATCCATCATGATCGCAACTACTCAGCTCATAGTCAGAGGACTCGGTCTCAAAAAATAACACAAAAAGGGTTCTCACATAGATTCTGCAAACGATTCTGTTTGCTCTATACTGGATTAACAATTTTGCTTCTCAAAATGGCTGTGGTGGCTCTCTTCTCTGATCATTTACCTTTCTTCCTCTCAATGACTATGATTGCTTCTGGCATTGTTTTTTTGTCGTCATTACTGGAGGGATAGCCTTATATGAATCATGTCAAAACTCAAAGGAGTTCTACTCAAACTAGAAGAATTAGCGAGGCATTGAACTGCCCAGGGTCATCCTGCGAATTTTGAAACAGCGGCAGCAACAGCAAGCACCTGGCTATGATATTATATTAAACCTGATATCGTTGAGCCTTTTAACCTTCTGAAAGCTCCTTGAGTATTATTTAAATAGAAATAAATGGGGCTTCTTAAAAAAAAAAGTCACGACTTAGACCCCATCCCCTCTCTAGGACGAAGCAACTACCTTTTCTCCAGAGAAGGTGACATTTGATCTTAAAGGTTATGTGTTTGGCAGAACCTTTTGAACAGAGAAAATAGAATGTTCCTAGAGCACAGGCATAAAAGAAAGAGCATGGCATTGAGCAGGGAACAGCAATAAGTCCAGAAAGGCCGTCCAGATTGGAAGAGAGGGGGTGGGGAAAGAGCAGTGTGAAATGCAGCTAGAGGCAGGTTTGGGTGAGATAGTGATGGATCTTGTTTTTGTGTTAAGAAGTTTGGTCCAGAGGGCATATTTTTGCTTCACAAAGACGACTTCTGGATGTTCTTTCTGTTATTTCTTTGGATACCCCTCTATGTTGAGTCAATCTCACTTCTTAAATCCAACTAGGCCATTCGTGTTTCTTCCCATGTAAGTTAAACTGATACTGATAGATATTAATTTGTCAGGGCTGGTGTTAGCCTTATGTGTTCCACAGCCCTAGAGACTTGTTCTAATGGTATTTTAGGAGTGAAGATATATTGAGGTTCAACACCTAATATTTTCTGGGAGCAAGGATGTTTCAAAAAACTAATTAGAGAATTTTTATGTCATTTCAACTAATTGGCTGTAATGGCTCTTTCCCTCCCCACTATTATGTGTCACCTTCCAGCAGATCACAAAAAATATTTAGACATTTACTTAGCTTTTTATTTAATAGTGATCATGAGATGCCTTTGACTTATGAAAATAACATAGAACAAATATAATACAAAGTCCCTGTCCTCAGGGATTCCATTTTCCGAATAGAATTGGAGTGTGACTCAGCATCCTTTCTTATGTGTCAGGGCAGGGGTGTCACTTCTCGTTCTATTTCCGTCAAGCAAGTCACATTTTCCATTCTTCCAGAAAAGTGGATTTTCTGTGGGACTTGAATATGAGGAGGCAATGACTTGGTAGAATTTGGGAGAATAGGCAGACTTGACAGGACCAAAGACAGTGGAGATAAAGTCTCTTCCCACCAGCTATGTGCACAGCACTGTGGCTTCCAGTAGTTAGTGTACTTGGTAGAGCAACAATGAGTGTATGTAGACATCACAAATTATTATAGAGTGGGTAGAATTTGTAAGTGGAACCAGAGTAAAGAGAAGGGGATGCTCTGCGTCTGTTTGAGAGACAGTCTGCCTTGAACAAGGGTTTGAAGGGGAGTAACAAATGAGATTGAGTCAGCTGGGGAAGACTTTACATCAAGGTTTGAGCTGAACTTTTTAGCCTGTATGACACTGACTTTTAAAAAATCATTAAGATTGCCTGGGGTGCTTCTTTAAAATACAGACCCGGAGGCCCTATCCCAGACCTACCGAATCAGAATCCTCAGGGATGGCACCCAAGAATCAGTATTATTCAGGAGGTCCCCAGGGGATTCCCTCACTCTTGTACAGTGGGAACCAGTGATGTAGACAGTATGCGATCCAGAGATCATGATAACATGATAGTGCCTGTGCTTTTCCTTCTGCAGAGGAAGAGAATGGGTAAGGAAGCACATCCAGAAGACAGCTGCTATGACCCCTTCCTACCCAAAGTATGGTCCTTGAGTCAGCAGCTTGGTCATCACCTGAGAGCTTGTTAGAAATACAGAACCTCAGACCCCACCCTATACCTCCTAAATCATAATCTGCATTTTAACAATATCCCCAGGAATTTACATGCGCATTAAAGTTTGAGAAGTGCTGGTGTACACATTAGGGAGATCTGGCAGAAAAGGTTAAGAAACCAGGGCAGGAACTGGGAACAGATAAGAGACTGGAATCTCAAGTTCAGAATGGAACCAGCAACTGGACCAACATGAAACGGAATGAAGAGCCACTTGGGGTTTTTTGATATCCCTGATAATGGCTGGGAATTGTCCCAGACAGCGTGGCACGTAAGCTGTTTTTGCCATGATACCGGTGCAAGAATCCCATTACAAGTGTAGGGAATATAAGCGATGCAGAAACCCAAGATGGTGAATTCTTTTTTTAGGCTCATGACACACAGAATCAAGAGCAAGGGCAAGAGGCAAGCCACTCTGGAGGGAAATGACGAATCCGGTGTTAGGCATATTGAGTTCACTAAATGAACAAGGCAAAGAAGTCAATGGAAATGAGAGCTGAAATCTGAAGGCAGAGAGGTAAATAATTAAGAGGAGTGCCTGAGAACCAGAAGGCTAAATGTTTAAATGTATAGGGAAAGGCTAACCAAGGATCACGTGATGTTAACCTTTGAGGAGAAGGTCATATGGTGAGAATCAGTGGGTACTGAGCATAATTTCAGTATTATATTTGTGACAGCACCATGGAGAAGCTGCTGAAAACATTGCAGCATCTCTTGCTTGAGAAGAATCACAGATGTTAAATTTTAGTGCTGCAGCAGGAACAAAAGAGATGGATGACTCTATCCAGATCCTACTAGTATAATGCTGGGATCATTTCAAATTCCCTTCTCTTTTCTTAACACTCTGTGACTTTTTATGGGCTTGGGAACTTAGGAAAGAGATGGGGGAGTCTACTGAGTCACGTTTCATTTTGAGCGTCGCCAAGCTGCAGGAGTAAACATAGATGCCCAGAAATAGCCTAGAGTGAAAGACAAACTCTGTCAGACCAAAGATGAAGAAAACACCTGGTATGGTGGTTTTTAAATATATCCATGAGCTCTTGATATTCTTTCCTTCAAGAGGTGGAAATAAATTTCCCT